CCCCCCCCCCCCCCGCCCCACAAGGCATGTAAACCCACTTTCCATGCAAACCGTGTTGAAAATTTACTGCAAAATTAAGAAACAGGCCACGGCCACTTACCCTGGGATGGAAGGCAATTGCAGTGACAAAATCGATGTGCTGAAAACAACACAGGCATTCCCGCCGGGATATATGCCAGAGCCGGACTGTCTTATCCATGGATGAAGAGAGCAGGAAGTAATTCTGCGGAACAGGAACCAAACGGCACCCGTGATTTCTGTGGTGTCCAAACTACAGAAGGAGCCTTAGTGTTCTGAGCGGAGGAGATGGCCCTTAATGCTTGTGGTTATTCCAGCAAAAGAAATACAGGAGCAAAATAATACTTCACGGGCACCAATAACTGGGCTGATAATTGAGAAAGGAGCATGCAGATCTGTTTTTGGAATCCCCAAAGTAATCAGGGTTTGAGGTAAACCACAGTTTAATGTTACTGATCTCTCCCCCCTTGTTTGGTAAAAAGGGAGGGTGCCCTGTCAGCATTTTATGCTGCTTGCTGGCTGTTTTGGGGAAGGGCCGTGCAATGGCTAAATACAATTCCCAGTGCACGTGAGATCATGGCTACTTTAAAACATAAGCAGCAACAGGAAATGAAACCCCTTACTTTAGACCAGGACAAATCCAGGAGATCTGCTGTGTGCCCTTTGTATTTGCAGAATGGCCGCTGCCGAAACGGTGTGCTTTTGTCATCAGGGTCCTCGTCGGTCCCACTACAAACCTGAAAAGCAGATACACATGAATGAACAGAGGATCCCAACCAGTTACATCCCATCACCTTTTCCTGCATGTGGGCAGGTAGAGCAGCAACCTGGTGCTTTCAGATGCGGGGGACATCAAGCCCCTCAATTCCTAATCGTCCCCGCCAAGGAAAACTGATTTGAGCCCTCCACATCTGGACTAGGGAAGCAGCGGTACATTTTAAAGCCATTCCTCCCTGCAAGCAATCAGGGCTAGAAACCCATTTTGAGAGAGAAGTGGGGGACTGATTCTGAACCAGCTGCCTGACGCTGCTGCGTCACCAAGAGGAGGACGCTTGGGCGCAACCCTCTGGAAGCCAACTGAGGTCCCCAATGAAAGCAAACAGGGAAAATGCACAAACCACCCTCATACTCATCAAGCGGTGTATGACTGATGCGAGTTTTAAGCTCTCCCATATCTCCTTTCTTACACACACAGAATTCTCACGGAGAATACACAGGATCAACCTTATCTTTAAATAAGGTTCTCAAAAGCAGCGATTAAGCTAGCTGATTCAGGCAGCCTAAAAACATTTAATTACTTCCAGATTTCAAATCCAAAGTCACACTACGAGAGCAGCATGAATTCCCTGTTGTCTGGGAAGAAGAGATTTCTCTTCTTCTTTTCTTTAACTCAAATCCCCTTCAGACATGCAGACCCTGAACTCCAGCACCAGCTGCAAAGCTGATGAACATGAGGGCTACCGCGGGGGCTGCGAAGAGCTGTCGGAAGGGTGAAGGGGCGGAGGACACACAGTCCAGGGACGGAAAGCTTCAGGGAGGCCCCCAACCTTGCAGGCAAGGCCGCAAGACTCACCCCCATATCGTTATCTGACTTGGCTGAGTTCAGGCTCTCTTGAGATGGGGAGGGGGACACGCGGCCTGAAAAGCAAGACAGGAAACCAGCTGAGAGGGGCTTCTCGAGAGAACCACCCACTTGCTGCTCCAGCCACGCAGGCCAGCTTCCTCGCTGCCAAGGAAGGGGCCTGGCAGAAGAGGGCGGCACCTTCGGTGTTGTACTTCATCCGCATGTTATTGAAATAGTCAAAGGCCGTCTTCAGCACCCAAATCCTCACGAGGTTGTCCTGGCCCGCCGAGGCGAGCAGCCGGCCGCAGTGTGAAAACTTCATGGTCCAGACGGCCCCCTGTCAGAAGCCAGAGAAACGGCCATCCTGGTGAATGAGCGCTGCACTAAAGGATGACACCCCCCCTCCCTCCAGCCGGGCCACGGGAGAAACAACACGAGCCACGGCCACGAGTGCTGCACCTCACCATGTGCTCCCCACTGAGATCCTGCACAACTTTCACTTGCTCGAAGTCGTATGGACCCTTGAAGCCGTGCGCGGCTTTGAATTTCACGGGCCGGGTGTAGGGCATCCCTTCATCGTCGCTCGACGACGGGTCGTCTTGATCGGTATGGAAGACTGAGGAAACAGTCGAGGATCAGAGCCCCTTCCTCTCTGTGTTCCCACAGTTACGGCCTCCAGAGTTACGCCTGAAGACCAGCAATGGTGAAAACCCTCCTTCTACCAAAAAACCCATGATTCTGCCTTCACACGGCACTTTCTGATGCAAAGTGACGGTGAGATGGGCATGAAAGTTGTTCTTCACCAAGGGGAACGGCCTTTTCCCTGTCCTTGGATCCCGTTTTGACCTGGAAATGCCAAGAGGGGACATGGGGCCTTTGGCCTGCAAAACCCGTGGTGGACACTTGCAGCTGTATTTCGGTCATTGTGACAGACTTTGGGTAAGATGGTTTCCTCTGCGTGGTAGCTGGGAGGGCCAAAGCTATGAACCAGTGGCACCACTGGATGAGTTTGGGATCTGGATCGCCAGGAGCAAAGGCAGCACAACACCGCCCATACAACACCGTCCCCTTTTGGAGCAGGGGGCAATCTCGGACACTCTGCCCCACCCACCTTCGTCTCGGACACTCTTCACTTTATTGACGGCACGCTCTCCGTACTCTTCGGCCAGATGCCGGGCCCTCTTGACCGATTTGCCCAAGAATTTTTTCAGTTGCGTCCTTCAAAATACATAGAAACAAAAACTCCTTTGCAACCTGTTCCTGCTAGCAAAGATCTCTGACAGCTACGCTCATTTCAGAGACAGCTCAAGGCTCGCAGGCCTTTGCTGGGGGCGGGGGGGCTGCAGGTCAAAACGCTCTTCATTCGATCTTCTATCCCAGCATCCAGAATCCCAAGCAGCTTATAGGAAAACAGGGAAAAGCTACAAGAGAGCAAGTCCAACATGAAATTATTTGCACCTAGGGGCTTTTTGGGGAGCGGGTTATTTAACAGCTGCACAGAAAGGGGATGGAGCACGGCCAAAACCTGAGGGCAGGCCTGAAGCAGCCGTTTGATCTTTCTTTTGCCCAACTTCTTCGCACTCTCTTTTTCTCACTGCAACCCCTCTCTGAGTATTCAGAAAAAGCCCGTTGCTGAATGCCCAGAAACACTAAAGCTGGGAATGCAGGAACTGACTAATGCTGGCACCCCCAAGCTCACCCCACCTCTGCAACATTCCTGACTCCACAAGTGCCCGTTCAGTCATTTGACGGACATGCTCGGGCTGAGGCATTTATGGGGCACAGCTAACTTTGGCAGGATTAGGACTAAAAACCTTGAAGTCTGACTTCTCTGCAATGGGACGAGTCCGTGACTGCTCTGGAACCCTGTCCTGTTTTGCTGTTTTGGAAAATGTGGGGGCAAGGACTTGCAGGTTTTGGAGAGAGGTCTGGCTGGTGAGCCAGACAGGACTCCTCACATCCTTGAGAAAATTGGGGGACTTTCCAGAACTCTCTGAGATAGAGGACAAAGACCGGGATAGATAAATGTTCCTGAAAGCAGGTATCTGGTTTGCGTGCTGAAACTGTTTCTGTCAGCACAAATCTAGGTGTGAGTCACGATGTTCCCCCAAGCCGCGCTAAAACAAAGAAAGAACTCCCTAAGAAGCTGCAGCCTCACGTTTTCTGTTTCAAGCGACCCCCGTCGGTGTCACTCTGCTGCAACTGCATTTTGTCTTCATCGTCCGACTGGGCCCCGTCGTTACTATGCAAAACCAAGGAGGTTCAAAGTTAGTGGCTGAAGATCCAAACTTTCGGTGGCGTCACAGAGAAAAGACTGCCTTGCCTGTGGTGCGCTAGACTCAGCCTCTGGAGGCGCAGACGGCACTGTGGTGAACAGGGCCAGGAGCTCCAAAGAGCATCTCTGTGGCTCATGTGCTCTCCCTGCACCTCCATTCATGCTCAAGGGGCAGCTGCTGAGCAGTGCACGCAAGAGAAATTGGAAGGGCACATCTGGAGCAACGCAGGAGATTCCCGCGCTGGCTTCTTACCTGACGTATTCCTTTGTCCGCCGCATGATATGCAGCGTCAGGGGATTAATGCCTGTGGGCAGCTTTTCCTCGGCCAAACTCAGGGGTATCTCCTCTCCCGTGTCCAGGTTCTTGATCATGACACTCGCCAAGATCTCCTATGGGAAGGACCGGAGAGACAAACGGCAAGCCTTGGCCTTCTGGAACCTACCATGGCTGCAGTCGAGTGCTAGAAATGGATTCAGATCAAGGAGCAGCAAAGGGGCAAGCTGGAGCCCCTGCCTTGGGAGGCGGTCAGACACCGAACACCCCTGTTGTGAAAGGAGGGCATCTTTTGCACCAGTTAAGAGCCGGTCTCTTTGGCCCAAAGTGGCTCCCAGCTGCTCTGAGGCCATGGGACGGGACGCAGCTCAGCGCAGCTCAGCTCTGTGGAGGGAACGGCTGGGAGCAGCCCTACCTAACGCCCAATGCCAGCCAGTGGGGTGGGGGGGCACAAGATCCTCCGATCCGCAAAGACAACCAGTGAAGGGGACAAGCAGTACCTCATCGGTGAGTTCTCTGCCCGAGTTCGATCTGGGTCTCTGGGGTCCGATCACTTCACTCGACACCACCTGGCCATCTGCCGATTTCCCATTTTCCTGCAATGACAGGAGGAGTGTCTGCTTAAACCCAAAAATGAAAGAGAAGGAAGGCACCAATCCACCTACCCTGCGGGGCTGCCGAGAGGGTCGAGGCAGATCCCACACCAAGAAACCAGAAATGGGGCTTCCTGGGAGTGACAACCGATGCTCAGGGCGTTGTCACGACCTACTTCCGCACCCGGCGCCAAAGAGAAAGCCAAGAGTCTGCAACCCTTCACAGACTTTCTATGGAGCGAGCACCCCTGACTACCCGGGGACTGACTTCTGAGAATATGCACAGGATTGCACGACGGGAAAACACATCTCTGGATTAGAACACTGTATGGTGACCCCTAAACGCAAATAAAATACAGTGTGTGCCAAACAAGCAGGTATTCCTGGATCCAGCTGAGCGCCCCAAAATAGCAGCTGCTTCAGCTGGACAGCTGCCAGCTTTTCCCCTGAAGTGCTGGCTGTCTACATGCAAGGAACTACTAATGCGAGGGGGGATTCTAAGAGGCCGCCCTGTAATTGGGTGACCCCGCCCCACTCTCCAAGGCAGCACATCCTTTTCCCCAAACCCAAACATCTGCTTTCGCCAATCTCTCCTCACCCCTTTGCCCCGCAAGGGCCATTTGCTCACCTGAGCCGTGACAATCTTGTCTCCGCTGGTTGCGCTCGCCAAGTCCAGGGAAGGCTGTGAGTCTTTGGCTATGGAGTCCAGGGAGGCGTTTGGAGACAGAAGGCCCCCCAGGGAAAAAGGCTCCCGAGGAACTGTGGAAAGAACAGGAAAGTTGAAGGGAATACGATCGACAGGGAGGCGCCAGGAAGGATTTTGCGAGCCAGTTCTGGAATCGGAGACTTGCCTTCCAGGCTGGGGATCTTCTCGCAGGCC